TCCACTCTTATATGTAGAGTTATTGCTCTGCTTCTTTCAGGCCTGGTTCTTTCATTTAAAGGGGACCTATCATGCAAAATGCACTTTTTGATGTCTTTTATACATAAATATGTGTACCCTGTGCACTGGGGAACTCATGTCAGAAAATAAAACCCTTTCTCTTTTCCTCCCCGTACCCAAATCTTTTAAAAACGGGTATACAACGAGCGCTACAGATTTCCATCCGCTGTGACGATTTCCATCCGCTGTGACGTCGGCGGACCCACAGAAAGTTGCTATCAGAAACAATGCCTGACGTGTTTTGGACGTAATCTCGTCTTTGTTTACATTAGCAAGCCTCGCTAACACTCAGAGCCAACCTGTACTGTAGAGCACATGTGTTTAAAAAGCAGGAAATAAAAAAAGAACTCACCTTGTGATAAACCCGCAAGAGAAAAAGCATTTGAGCTCCATACTGTTTCAGAAATAATCCTTGACGTGGTTTAAACAGGATGGCGTTTTATCACAACCAAATTTAACTTTATCAACGATAGAATTCTGATCAGGCATTAGCTCCGCCTCCTCTTCTTTCTTTTTTTCAAGCTAAGGACCCAAAATCCGCATTTCTCTAACAGGGCTGCAAAAGAGGGGTTTGAGCAGTATGAGGCATGGCTACAATGGGTGATCTGTTTGGTATTTTAAGCAAAAAACTTCACTGACATGTTTTTTATAGGTATGGTCCTACAATATATGTTTCCAATATAGCATGACAGGTCCACTTTAAACCAAGTGGAAAAGTCACAGAATTTGCCTTTTAGTTTTGCACCATTTTGAGATATTGCCTACAATGTCTTGGGCAGCCTTATTCGTTATTGGTTTGGCATTAATTAGTTTCTGTCTCAGTTTCAAATAATATCAACCATGGGGTTCCAGTTTTATGATTTTAACCGCCAATAACATATTTGCCTCCCAGTGGAATTCTACAATTCCTCCTCTCTCATACCATCACTCCTGAACGCTATAATAAGGTAATCCAATCTGCCAAATTAAATTCATTTCCATACATGACGCCTCTATTTGTGCCCTCATCTCAACAGGTTCAATTGTATAACTGGGTTAGATTTATGAGTCTTTGTCTGAGAGCCTCTTTCTGGGAAGGCTAACAGCAGCCACAGTCATTATTTTGATTAAGACCCCGATGTCTGCTTTTCTTTCCAACACTGCATGAATACTGATCTGACACGGGCAACCAAAGGAGTGCATGGCGAGAAGAGAGGCAGTAAAAGGATAAATGGACATTGAAAGATTGTCTAAGAGGAGAGAGCAAGACTCTTAAATGATGACTGGAACAAGGTGGTCCAGAGAAATTGCCATGACAGTCTTCTTCCACTTTGTCTCACCTTCCATAACAAATGTATCTTTTCTCCAAGTCTGTACCATCCCACTGCCTTTTTTTAAATCAATCCTTTTCCATCTTTAGGTTTTCCTGCCCTGCCTGCCTCATTTCACCTCCACAAATGTAATTCTTCCCTTTTTCTCCACCTTCTTTCTCCTGCCCTCCTCCTCAATTCTCTATAATCATTTACCCATGGCTGGCCTGTCAATCTATCTGACCCTTAGCTCCCTAAATCACCACAATGTATTCTTCACCAAACCTTGACAGCATGTCTACACGATCCCCCACTTGACACCCAGTGGGCTGGCTCCCATCTGCACAGACTAAATCAAACAACCTCCAAGCTGCACCCAGGAAGGGAGGGAGGGGGGGGGGGACTGACAACATCCTGAAGATGCACACGCAACACACACACACGCACGTCTTTAAAAAGGCGCGCGTGCTGGTAGGATAACACAAGGGAGTTCATTCACAAGCCTTTGAATCCGCGATTTTGAGTTTGTAACTTTACAACTTTTATTCTCAAAGGGCAATAAAAAGGAAATCAGAGATGAAACACATATTGTTGACACTTCAGTCTCAGAGATAGTTCTCTCTCTTAACCCTTATTTTACCCCGTCACTGCTTTAATGGCTGAATCCCAGAAAGTGGCAAGTGCGTCCTTTGATCAGAAGCAGACGCTTAAGTAATCAGGCCAGGGAGGCAACATTAGAGAATCTTTCATTTGGCGCACTGCAACGGGATCTCTGCAGTGTTTGTTTGTGTGTGGTGCAGAAGTTGTGCCTGTGCAGATGTGTTTACGTGTGTGTGGGTCTATCTGTGTTTGCTGAGCATCATAACTATAGCAAACATGCCCTGAGGCAATAACAGGTGGGTTAGAAGCGAAGGGCCAGCTCAGCATTGCTCTTCCTCAGAGTAGATCACTTCTCTCCTCCTACACAACACCAGCTCTCCACTGCAGGACTAAAGGCATTTGGAAACGGGCCAGTCTTTGACATCATCATCATCCCATAAAAATGAATAGAGCGGAAGCATAAAATCCAACCTTACATTGCACGGCTTTTGCCACTAATAATTCCATCCATCATGATCAGAATCCTCCTTTTAATCTTTTCGCTTTTCATTTCTTTGGTTCATTCTTTTGCTACAGCCCATCCTCCCTTGTGACCTTGCCCTTTCATATATCCTACTTGCTCCCCCCTTCTCTCTCTCTCTCTCTCTCTCTCTCTCTCTCTCTCTCTCTATTCTCTTCAATACCTATAGCAGCAAACACGCATTAAAGGAAGTGCTTCGCCTTTCAAAAGGGAGTACAGCTTCTTCATCTTCTTTAGTTGCTTACACCATCCTCCCCAGCTTTTCCTCTCTTTTCAGTGCAGATCCCCTGTCCCTCTCTCCTCACATAAATCCCTGTTTCCATCCATCTCTTTGAAGGAACAGCTCAATTAACCAGCCTGGTCCGAGGGGAGATTACATTCTGCACCATACTGTAGCGAGTGTAATCGTACACTCCAAGTCTAGCCAGCTACTCCGACAACAACCTCCCTGCTACACTAGCAGCTCCCAGCACCGTCTAGAGATCCGGCTGACGCTATACAAGCCCACTGCATTAAATAGTATGATAATGTGACCAGCAGTGGGTCTCTGGAGCCTTGCTGCCACGGAGACGATGCACACACACTCATTCCCTCCAACACGCCCTCTTCAGCAGCAGCCGTATCTTGATCTATTGTGTGAATGTGTGCAGTGCAGTGCAGTATGTTTATGGATGTTGTACAGATGGTAACAAGTCATTGTCAGGCATAGTGCCTTCACTCCCCTCCGTCCCTTGACTGGGTTCATCTGGGACAGGCTGCCGGCTACTAAGGCATGGAGAGAGGGAGAGAGGGAGAGAAGGAGGGAGGGAGGGAGTTCACCACATCGATAGCACACATTCTCATAGCTCACAGACATACTGTTCCTGCATCTGGTCTTTTTGGATATCTGCTGATATCTTAAGGATAGGAGTGCACGCTATGAGCGAAGATATACTTAACCACAAAACACCAGACATGCCGAGACAACCTACAGACGGAACAAGCTTACGGCCTTTCAGCAGCTGCTTGGGGCCATACAGTTTTCTACATCATTAACACAACTGGTGGAACATTGTCTATGTTCTGCCATTGAGTAGAACAGATGTGTAGCAGGCCACAGAGGGTGACAGCAGGCAGCTGTATGGCACTCAGCCAGGTGAGAGCCTCCTTTTCAGCGGCACACCTCCACACGGTCTGCTGCGAGCGCTGCCCCACCCTTATTTTCACCTCCCCTGATATCTCCTTCCGTATAAATATCTCTCTCACTCTGTCTCCTGTTGATATCTGAATCTATCTTCCTTTCCCTCTCCCAGGTCTTTTTTAGATTCCTTCCCTGTCTTCATAGTTTAAAGTTCCCCTGCTCTGGCAACACAGCCCGACTGCAGCTGCAGGAGACTCAACGGCAGACTCTAAATTGTTGAGGTCTCTTCTGCTGTGCTGGTCATTCAGATGAGTTTCATCCGCCACATCAATGAATATCGTAGCAGAAAATTGCAATCATGGGCAGTACTTAACATTAAGCCACTCAGCTATTAGCTGGGGGAGGGGAACGTGCAGAGAAAACGAATATTCATATTAAAGTAGCAAGGAGGAGGAGAACCAAAGCATATCATTTGCCTGATAAATTATCATCAGTTTGCAGGAAAGAAATGCAGAATGCAACATGAATGGCAACGAGGCACAGTATGCAAATACATTTGCATAAAACATATCACATTTGGTTGGAAGTTGTGTGTGCTATCTTTATATTTTTACAATAAACATATAGTAAGAGCAACAGATTAAAAGTAGATCTCAATACACTCCGGTTATTAAAAAATACATACTAAATTACATTTTTCTTCAGATTAAAAATCTAAATTAGATTGAGTTGTCCCTAAACACTCATTTCAACTTTAGACATGTGATATTACAACAGATAGTAAAACGGTCTTGTGACATGGGGCAGGTTCAGTGAGGCAGGACAATGCCACACAGCATTCCTATGTATTCAATATTAATGCCAAAGGAAACCCTGTTGCATGCAAGGCACTGAATGTTCAAGCAGCCAGATCAATAGGAAAGGAAAAAAGGAAAAAGCATTTTCCATCAAAGTAATGTGATCCAACAGGTTACCAATGACACCTGCTACTACACAAAAGAATATTTTCTACAGTTCAAAGTAAGAGAATAGTATAACTAAAGTATGATAAATTAAAACCCCCACTACCAATGAAATACTTAAATAAAGGAGGTTTTTGAAATCTTTCAGTTGCTAGGTTTTTTCGAACCAAGTGTGTTGAAATAGCTGTAATTTCCTAGTTTTCCTTACAGCAGCACACCTGATGGGAATAGTAAGAGAAGTGCCAAAGAGGAGACATGTTCAAATAAAGAGCTGTTAAAGTGCTCCACATGAACCAGACTGTCTGAATGTTTAACTGTCAGTGCTGAAAGGTGCGATTCCATAACAATCCACCTCACCTAACAGCCTAATTAATCCGCTCACCAGCTTTCCCCCGCTCTCACCCTGTTTCATGACAAACTGTCCGCCTAATCACTTAATATCCTCTTACCTTCTCAGTGATGCTGCTTTCCTCTAGCAACTCCTTGCTTCTTTCCCCCACGTCTTCCTTATCTACTTGTGCCTTTTTCTTCCGCTTCTCTATGAAATTGATTGTGCCCCACTCCTCTCTGCTGATGCTGCAGTGATAGAAAAACACACCCTCCTCCGGCCGCTCTCTCTCTCCCTCCCTGACTCTCATTGGCTGTCTGTTAGAGGTGACATCACCCTTCTTCTCTGCCTGCCTGCCTGCCTCCCTCCTGCTCTGTCCCCTCCCTCTCTCCCTCTTCACCTCTCTCGGAGGATTGTGACCATTCCTTTATTGTACCCCCCCTCCTCCTTCCTGTCCTCTATCCGTTCCCTCTGTCCTCTTTTTTCCTGCCTGAAAACAGTCTGGATCGAGGGTCCGGCTGCTCTTATTACTGCTCTTGTATTCAGCCATGCAGTGCCAGGGATAATAATGCATACAGTAAATTAGCATAAAGCACACAGCCTATGGCCCCCCAGCATTTCTCCTCCCTTCTTCTACTGCACCAATCCAGGAGCTAATAAACTACAAAGGTGAAATAATGACCGTAGGAGGTTGTGTGTTGGTAATCTCTATGCTCCACAGGGCTTTTCTTCCATAAGCTTTTTTAATGTATTCTGCCATTAACACAGGGACTGGGCTCCAGTTCATTACAGTGCAATCAAAGGCATGACTGGGAGGAATGTTACGTAACCCTGTTGAATAAAAATGTGTCAGAAATTACTGCCGCCTCTTATCTGAGTCTGGGGGGGGGTGGGGCGGGTCGACGAGATGCAGAGATGATTTCAGGGTAATAAAGGGCTGAGTAACTGTGTTTGCTGTTGTGCGGAGATAAATGTCAACGCACAGAGATCCAGAACACACGATGATAGAGATCTACACAGGTTTTGTTTACGTGCTTTTACCCCTTTGCATCTTGATGAATGTGTATTGATGTGTCAGGCTGTTGGCCTTATTTCCCCTGCAGCTCATCCAAATCCAGCTATACAAAAGTGAATGTTTTTTATCTTGCGTTTATAGCAATGAATAGACTGGCACCCGACAAAAAAATTCCAAGTCCATTTTTCAACCTCCAAAAACGTTTAGATCCTCTGAACAATTACTCTTTTCAATTCCACGCTCTCAGCCAAAATCCAGCCTCTCGCTGAGCTCTTCCCATCGCTGCCTGCAGACGAGTGAGTTCATACCTCTCTGTTTGGAGGACTTTGACATACAATGTATTTCAAATAATAAAACATTACTCTTTTCTACTTAACATATTTCTACTATAATAGATTATATACTGTATTTATTGTTCTTTTAGATTTGTGAATGACCATGTAGAAAAAGGAAAGCAACATATACAAAATGATACTCTGCGAGATTGAGGAACTACTAATAGAAATAAAAACTGCAAATACAATAAAAACAAACTGCAGTTGTTGTTGTTGTTGTTGTTGTTGTTGTTGGGATTACATGATTGTTTGTTTTCTGTGTTTCTGTGCAATATGTTTTCTGTTATTCAGCCGAATATTTTGCTCCTTGAAAGGATTGTCAAGATAAATTAAGTTTAAAGAAATGTCTCGACAGTTATCGGATAAATTGTCACAAAATCTTCCTCTTAGGATCAATTCACTTTTGGTGAGGATTTATTTTTCATGGGTTCAAATGTAAAGGTCCCATGTCATGGCCATTTCCCCTGATCATAATTCCATTGTTGAGGTCTACTAGAATAGATTTATATTGTGCAATTTTCTAAAATCCCTTTGGTTTCTCCTACAGCATCTCTGTAAACTACGTGTATTCACTGAATTTCACTCTCTGCCTTTAACGGCTCGTT